CTGTAAGTAATGAATTATGTTATTGTTAAGGTTTCTCTAAATTACAAGCGTATACAATGTGACCTTGTTTACAGCTTGCCTATAAAGGCCACTTCAAACCTCTCTATTACTCAAACTTTCCAGTAATTACATTTCCACCTAAAAAAATACAATCAGATAAACGTATCTCATATATATATATATATATATATATATATATATAATATATATATATATATTATAATATATATATATTATATATTACATATATATATACATATATATATTATATATATATATATATATATATATATATATATATATATATATATATATATATATATATATATATGTATATATATATATGCCTGCTGTATTTTGGGCACACGCCCCAGCTCTGAGGAGCTGGATGAAATTTTCGCCTTATAATCGGTGATACACCACGTAACAAACATGTACCTTATATGCCACCTTTATATCACAATGTATCTCTTAAATCTTCTGTACCATATTATGTAATAAAATATTTCTATTGGCAAAAAAAAAATTATATATATATTAAAAGATGGGGTGGTAGGTGAAGTGGAATATTCAAACGGCTTCAGGAAGAAATCCAAATATTCTTCCTTGAAGCCTTTTTATCCATTCTCCGAGGCTATGGGTCCCACAATTTACACCAGAGGTGGACCCCATCCTATATAAATATAATATATATATATATATATATATATATATATATATATATATATATATATATATATTTATATATATAATATATATATATATATATATATATAAGGGATAACGTTGAGTGGTATGAACCATGATTAGTGTCGTTTGTTCCTTTGACAATCTTTCATTACGGCTTATCTGTGGTTTATACACATAATTTAGCAACTTAGTCTATTTTCCCCATCAAATAAACTATTATGAGCATCATGTCTACTGCATATCACAACGTGCATAAGACAACGTGTTATGCAGTAAACATTTGTTGTCTAATACATTATGGTCTATATTACCCATACATGTTGTGTATTTTGTGAGTACAGTGGAACATCGGTGTTTCGAACGTACCGTACCTCGAACAAACCCGTGTCCGAACAATTTTGTTCAGAAAAAATTGACCTGTGTTTTGAACGCTTTTCTGCAGTCCGAACGCGCCGAATTGTTTAAAATTCAATGAAAAAAAAAGTTACACGAAAGCCCTATTTCAAAAGTGTATAATAATGCATATTGTAAGTATTTTGGTTGATGTAATGTATAATCTTGTGTAATCTTGTTATTTAACATAGGTGCAAAGGGATATAATGCATAGGGGACGAGGGACAGTTTGTGTCAGCACAAAGTTAAACGTCCAGTGTGTATTTCGACAATGAAAATTTATAATTTCTGTGGAAGAACTGATACTGTGTTCTTTATTTATTTAATGTATTGTATTGTTTTAAATAAAATATAAAAAAGAAATTCAAAAGTGCTTTGAAGTGACCTCTGACACTGACCTAACTCTCAGAGACTTGGAAGAGTCAGTTCAACATCCTCTAGCGTGTGAGGTTGGTAATTAAAACCTGGGAAACACTGTTTCGGACATCGCTGTTCGAGAACCACCTAGGAACCAATTAAGTTCAGACACCAAGGTTCCACTCTATAATAATTTCTTCACAGGAGATATTTCTTTACCACATCCGCCTTTTCCCACCAAGGTAGAGTGACCCGAAGAAGGAAATATCTTCCCATTACTCATTATCACTCTTGCCAAAACTGCATAGATAAAGGAGTGATGGTGAGTGTATTTTAAATGTCCCTACCTTGTGGAAAATAACCGACGTGTTAAAAGTACTGATAATTAAAAAAAAGCTGCAGAAATAAAATACATTTAACGACATTTATAACAGACAAAGTTTACATAATACACATAGAATGAAAAGGTTATTAGACTGACAGAATATGCTGTAGGAGGAGCCCCAGTCTGGCTGCCTCTCAACCCACCAACTACACACGTGTAAATGTACTTTATTTTACAATAATGGGCATCAGTAAATTGAAAAATGTTGCATGTTTGATAGAAATGTTTGCTCTTTCTCAGAATTTGTTTTATTAGATTAATAGCCTATCGACTACACGAGGTTAAGGCCGCATTTCACCAGTGCACCACTTGTCAAGGATTCCTTAGCACTGATATAGGTATTAAACAAGTATATACACAGATATACACCACTCGGTGTATATGGCCTGACAGAATGCATCTTGCATCATTCGTTGTAATTTCAAAGCTAAGTTGCATCTGCACAAGGCAAATATTGTAATGATTAATAGTGCATTGCTGCAAGAAAATGTGTTTAGCAAGTATGAAAATATTAATAACTTATTAATTTCATAAATATATATAAATAAGAGAATGGCAAAAAAAAAAAAAAAAAAGAAAATACACGTGGGCGAAATGCTCTCGAGGCAAAAATTCCTCAATACTCGTGTTTATTATCAGTGAAACATTATTGTTTTTCGTTCTACAGTTCGCTGAATTCACTGATAAAATTCGATAATACCTAATAATGATTCACAAAACTGATGCCATATTACGTATAAATGTTGGGAAAAAGAAGCGGATGAGAGTATATTTTGTGGTGCTAATGTGATTAGCTCTTAAGGCAAAAAAAAAAAAATGGAGCAAATGTAAAATAACTCTTATTTATCTTGCAGTGTAATAAAAAAGGGGGAAATATATAACAGTCAAAGAGTTATTATGCATGATAAAATTAATAGTTTCATAAAATATAAAACTACCATGTACAGTGCTGTATTTAGCTTCAAGGCTACAGTAGAAAATCGAACAATTTAATAATACAAAAAATTATAACTAGCTTATAAAACTGAAAAACACGACCGGGTATATGCACAGAAAGGTGTGTATCAGTGCATATACACGAAATTTCAAGTATTCTTCATGTTTAGTTCCATAGGCTTTAAACCTGAGAAGACTTAAAGTAATAATTACTCTTGTTTAACGTAATTTGTTTTAGATGCTTATAAACATGATTATAAGCTAAAATAAAAGGAGTCTTCTTGCTGGAAAACATGCAGCAATATTAAAATAAGTATTAGGCCATTTATTATATTTGACAAAAAAAAAAATGTGATGTAAGAACGCGCAGGTAGGGATATTGAGAGGTGTAAGGTCAAAGTGAAATGTGGACGGGCGTGGGAGGGAAATGTGGAGGGCGTTGCCGTAGGGATTGTAACTGTGGGAATAAGGAAGAATATAGGGATGTCAGCGTGGATCATTAATTGGAGTCGGCTTACCTTAAGGGGGTTAGAGGTTAGTAGAGGTGTAATAGGTTCGTTTGAGAGTCTGGTTGGAACATGTGTACCAAACTCTCACTATAGGATTCTTTGCAACTTCCGCCTGTTGGTTTTTGGTTATGATGCTTATACGGTGAGGTTAGTTGGAGATAACGGTTTCATGAAAGGTGGCATAGGGGTTTTAATGTTAGAATAGGTTGTTATGAATAAATTTAATTGGGGAAAAAGTTAGTATGTCGTGGGGGAAAAGAAAATTGATAGCTAAATAATAGGTTTAAAACTGAAAAAGGGAAAATTTGAAACTGTTAAAAACGAGTGTAAACTTTAGATGAAATTTTAATTTAAATCAAAGATAACTTTACACTCCCTTAAAATAGACTTTTTTTTTTAAAAAAAAAAAAAAAAAAAAAAAAAAAAAAAAAAATAAAGGGAAAAAAAAGGAAGATTTGGAAAGAGAGAGGAGAGGGGAGGAGAGGAAAAAATAAGGAGGGAGTGAAGAGGAAGATTTTTTTTAAATGAGATTAAAGGGGAGAAAAGGGGAAATGAAAGAGGAGAGGAGGGGAGAAAAAACTTTTAAAATTGAAAAGATGCTACTTCATAAACATCAATAAATGAAAAAGCCTAGTTTTTTAAATTCCACGAACAATAAATTTAAAATAAATAAAACTTGTATATAAAATTTTATATACTATCGTGCGTCTTGTGTCGACCTTGATTGGGGAAATAACACTGGGTGTAGTTTACAGATCCCTGTGTCTGATGTATTGCTGGTGCCATCATTAATAACAAATAGTCGCATGCGGTGTTGTATATTTTAGATTTCGTTTTTAGGATGCTTGTGGGGGATAGGGAAACGCCTAAATTTGCTCAGTCTTTCATTGTTTTTTCGCTTATAACCCCTTTCGGTTTTGCGCTTCTTTTTTATTATAAAAAAATCATTGTTTTTGACAAGTATATTTTGTATTTTTGGTAAGAAAACATGCAACAGTTTGGATCTTTATTTTGAAAGTTTCGCCTAACAGTAGGTTCTTCAGTCAAAACAGAAAAGTTGATGAAGAGAAGAATGTGAAGACAATGTAATCAGTTCATCTGCTTAAGATCTAGTTTTTTAGGGGTCAGTCCTCAGCCTGGAGAAGAGTATTTTCCTAGTCTGAAAAATTTTTTCGATTTTGGAAAAAAACTTTTCAGTCAAAAAAAAAAAAAAAATAATGGAGGAATGTTTATTTGTTTTTAAAAACTTTTTCCCAAAATTCTGGGGGTTTAACTGTTAATTAAAAAACAAGAAATAAGCAATAATCCAAACGAGAGGGGGGGAAAAAAATTAAATTGAAAAAAGAGCAAACTTTCCCTATTGACCCTTAGTTTAATTCACGATTTATTTTAATTTTTTTTTTTAAATTTTAAAACTTTTACAAAAATAAAAAAAAACTATGGTGGGAGTTTGGTCAACCTTGAAAATAAAATAAGTTGGATTTACAAAAAAATTTTGGAAATGCTGATGTATTGTTGGGTACACATCAATTTTTCTTTGCCCGGAAGGGGCGGTGTTGTTTTTAATCCCTTTTCTAGAGTTTAGTAGGAAGGTTTGTCAGTTTTCATTGGGGGCTTTCCCCTTGGGTTGGGTTCAAAAAAATTATAATAAAATCTTGTTTTTGGGGGAAAAAAGTATTTAAAGGGGAAAGGGTAGAAGAAAAAACTAATGAAATTAGGTATTTTTTTTA